AAATTTAATTTTTTGGGTGCAGATTTTGGAACGTGCTATGCGCGAAGTGCGTCCTCAACGGCGAAATTTACACCCCTCCGATTACAAACTCCGCGCTACCCACAGTATTAGAACCAACATCACGAAAACACAATGCAACAGCCATGTAACCATGGTAACGAATACAACCCATATACAAGAGCTGTTATTAATTGGTGCCTGCAAGGAATGCCATTTGTCACATGTTTTTATTAGTTTTGCCAAGCAGTAATAATTTTATTGTGTTATATCACGGTTTTAAATGTTTACCGAGACACGCATCCAAACAAAAGAACCGACAGAGTTTCTTGACCGTTCTTCTAGTAACCGTGGTTATATGTCAATTCTTTGTTTGTTTGATTTTTTAATTGTTGTCCGACGCAAATATCGCGCCAGTTTTTACAAATTCCGCCTAGTCTTTAAAATGAGCAGTAATTTTTGGATTGATTCATTTTGAATTTCGATGCGGGTCAACTACTTCACCCCCAACAAGAACAACAACCTCCATGACAACATCCTACGTGACGTGCATACATCGAATATTGGGATGAGATGCACGTATAAATACAAAGCCGATGATTCACGTCTAATATAATATTAGCGACATGATATACCATTAACCATGTTTGGCCATTGTCTGGCGCCATCTCAGTACAGTATGGCAGAATATTGTCCTATTAATTCTAAACCTGTTTAAGGTGGCAACACTCAATTCGAACCGAATCATTTCAAAATTATGCTTAATTAGTATGGGTTGATGGGCCCAACCACATATTGGTGGGCATAAAACACAGATCATGTGTGTTATCTCTTGATTGGGATGATTTACCATGTAGTATTTCCGGTCCACGTGCAAACAGAGTTTGAAGTGGATTGCGTAATAGTTATTATTACATTTTTCGGTGTATTTACATCAATTACAGCATTCATTGCCACTAAAGAAGCCTCGAGTGTATTCTTCAGCTTAAAACCGAATGAAGCGAACGATCACAGGAAACTAGTCTTTATACTTCCATTGTAATGTAGGCTTATAATGAGCACGTCTGCTCCTAGCGCATTATACAACCCACTGATATAAAGCTTTCTGAAAACTTATTTCATGTATATTTCATAATTAACTTTGGCAGGCAGGTCACGGCTTGTGTGCTTTATATTGTCAAGGGATGCCATTTCCATATTCGTGGTTAATTGGGCGGCGGTCCAATTCTCGATCTCCGTTAAAAAGTTAAACCCAACTCAAAAAGCTAATTTACGTATTTTGTTGTTAGATCACCAGTCATGTCGTCCTCCCATGTGAATGTTTGAGACGAAATTTGCTCATCTTCAACTTTGCCGCTCATGATCGCGGCTACGCGCCCAGTTTGTCATAGTGATTTTATGTGAATAGTGCCGCCAAATGGTTAAAGTTTTAGTGGCCTGTCGACAATTTAATAGTTAACCAAGCATCCTACGTGTTAACGGCATCATCGCGTTATCTGGCATGCCATCGTAACTAGACGCTTCGGAAGCAATGCATTGTAAGTTTCGCAGGTGATTTTAGGCAGTATGGCGGACAGATACGATTATCGGGACTCTGAATCCGACGACCAAGCTCAAGAATTCACCCCTTTATCGAGGCGACGGGAGAATAATACCCAACAGCAGCCTGAGGTATGACACTAACGTTTTTTTCATAGTGTTTAACCAAAATCAGGTTGCGCTGCAAGCCATTTTAAATCATGGAGGTGAATTGAGTCTATTTCACCTCCGAGGTTGTTGAATGAAAAGACGTATGCTAAACAACAGGATAACTGGGGCATTGTGATGCGTTTCAGACATGCGTAGTGAGTTACTTTTCTTGCTGGGTGTTTACATTAGCTCAGTCTATCGACCAACGAAACTTGAAAACTTTGGCCCAGAATGTTGACGCGTTTCTCGAGCTTCTCGTCTGTAAATTGACGTCCACTTGAAGTCTCTACATCCATGGATAATTTATAGTGTAAACTGGAGTGATTCGTGTGACGACCTAAATCGGACGGAGCAGGGTCCGCCTCAACACCGATTGGATATGTGATTCTGAGTTTCTACACGTCCGGTGAAATATTGCCGAACAAAATGAGGAAGTGTTTGAAGCCGAAAACAAGCACAGACGAGTCTAGCGTCGAAGTAGTGAGCCACGACGGGGATACGGTACGGTAACACTTACTAGTAATGTTGTTGTGGTGGTTGATACGACGGGTTGTATATCTCAGACTAGTAATAGAGTCTGAGACTGTATACAATAGCGCCGTGGCAATCGACACCATTGAATCGAATGTGACCGATTTCTTGAAAAGCCACTATTGTGACCGTCTACAGCAACTTGGCGTAAGCACTTTTCAGAATAAGTGAATTAATTTGCGCCGTTTGTGTAATTACGACAAGGGCGCAATGGCGGCCCTCATGTCTACGTGATACCCTGGTGTTCATTGATATATGTTTAATATTAAACCATGGTATCACGTACCTGCGTCAACACAGAATGGAATGTAAATACCGTACACTTATAATAAGGTCTCCGTGTCACACCCTTGTTCAGAGAACAACTTGGTACTAAGCATGGAACCAATTAGTTCGAAGGTCAACCTTCTCTTTTAAAAAATAAATCAACAAAACAAGGATTAATTTTGACTCCCGTGTGCGAAACCTGCAATAAAAGTTTTTACGTTGTGTGCGTGCAGATAACCCTGCATATGCCATACGCCATGACTTCCGAGCACGGTATGTTAACATCTCACACAGAACTACACTCTGTACTTCGATGATTTATTCATATTCCGTGTTTGGACCTGGACGCCTTGAAAATTGAAGTTTTACTTTTATTTCAATGTTTCTGCTTCCACGTCCTTCAACTTTGACCCACCTCCTCGTACGGTAACCATGCTTATGAGTTCACACACCCACTACGGATTATAGTGTACATCCATTTCATTAATTTGTTCATTTCACGCAAAAGTGTTGAGCTCTAAAAAGTGTAACTTTATTAAAAATCGTCCCACGTGACCACGTTAATGGAATGTGTATATCTATTAAGAAAACAAGTGCGCGGTGATCGGTCGTGGATTAGTCTCGATTCTCATAAACTGTTCGCTTCTCAAAACAATCAACATTTGTTCGCTTCTCAAAACTGTCAAAATTTATATAACAAAAATAAATTTTCACTGTTAGATATCATGAATCAGAACAGTTTCTATACGTCCTATTATAGTTGTGAAAATCGACTCCCTGTATTAATGACATTGCAGAATATTCTAGTATATAGAAACGTTGTAGAATTCGATGTCCTAGAAATAAGCAGTAAAATTAGAGAAAACAGACAGATAATTATGTTATCGTTTTATCTAAACCATCCAAAGTAGTCTCAGACAAAATATATGATCAGTGCGCATGCGTTGGTATTTTTGAAAACTAATATCTATAGAACCTTCAACAAAAATGTCGTGCTAAGCAAATGAAATTTGGTAAGCATGTATCAGAAAATAAAGTTATGTCTACTATATTTGAGCTGTTGATAACGCGGGAACATCCCTAGATCGCGCGTGCGTTCAAATGAATGGCGGGGGTCGTGTTAAAAATGCTCTAATTCTGTGTCATAACTCTCATTGGCAAAAATATCGACCAACGCGTGTTAATGAACATAAACGCCTGAACAAAAATAGGCGATCCGTCGGACATTTGATGTTTTATTTATGGATTCCCTAATTAGGCGAAAAGTTTACGCAAACTTTTCTCAAATCGAATAATAGCTGTTAGATGACACCTGCTACCCAGCAGTGCGGCAATTCGCAATTGTGTATGCATAGCCCGACAGCGTGCCGTGATGGGGAGAGCGTGACCTGAATGCCAATATATCATGTGCTGCGGAGGGAGTGGTCTGTATGCTAACACAGTACGTGTATGGAATATTAATATATTTTTATCCGTGCATAAAATTATCTTTTTTTGTTCGGAAATAACGATTGGCAAAACAAGACAGTGAGATGCAGCCCCACTATCTGATATTTGGTCGTTGAAAATAGACACTAAAACTTTCCGTAACTTTGATGAGGTCAAATATCGGAGAACACCACGGGAAGTTGGGTATACCATACCGTAGTTAATCGTTAATGTTAGATACTTAACTGGCACACACACACACACACACACACATTATATTTCAAGGTCAATTTCATCAACGGTTAACAATCGTAGTTAACCCACAGTTCACGTACTTATCGTTATATTACGTTCGAATTATCGTTAATGGGTACACGGTCTGTCAAAAAATATACTTGCATATTTTCTCTGTATTTCCTCACACGAAACATAGAAATGTGCCGCCGAGGACAAATCAAAGGGCCCTTTTACACTCAATTGAAACCAATTTTCCAGTTCGATGAAACCTGCATTACGATATCACTTTAATTTCTTGATATTTTCTGGTTGCCTGGCCATTCAGGCAGTCCATTAACCCCCCTCACCGTTGCCACGGTGGCATAATGGTTATCCTCGTGTATCGTCGCTCATCCATAGTACCTGTTTATCGACAGACCCGCCGCACTATGGATATCGTGTTGGATCAGTCGACCGCTTTGGTCGTAAAAATCGAATGCTCTATATTTCCTAACTGTGTTTGCATACATTTAGTTTCATACTTAGCACATGTGCATCGAAAGGACTCAAAATCGTAGTACACGTACGGCCTCAACGTATTCAAACACAGACATCTACAAAATCACACATGAAAAGATTCAACCCCGGGGTTCAAACCTTCTCCTGCTTACCCTAGTTTAAACTTGCGTGCATATAATAGTCATATTTCTTTATAGCCGACGTCTCAAGTGTCGTTCGTTACCTTCTAGCGATTACCTACCGATCTTTACAATATACCCCGTAATGAGGTAAATCACAGCGGTCGGAAATCTGATCAAAAGTGCCGATCAGAATCCTTTTTGAACTTCCACATACAAAAATAATCCTCGCTTGCAATCCCATATGTACTCACAGATTACAAGTTCAATTTTAGTGAATTATATTTCATATCGTGACTGGAATATCGTGAAAAATCACCAGAAACAATCGACGACTCTTGCTCACGTTCACATTTTGTGCCGTAATTATCATAAATTGCAACATATACAAGCCGCCGAGATCCTAGCCAGAATATTCGTTGTCGTACGGTGTTTTGATTAACAGAAATGGTGGTTCGAGCGTTCGTATACAGTTTAACCACCACCACCTTCAAAACATTAAACATTGCTTGCCGATGTTGAAGCGCGGAGGTCGTCGCGCAGCGCGTGTTCGAATTTTATGTAATTAAACAATGTATTTTACACGCGTTGTATACGTCGCTATGAGTCCCATATCGAACAGGACGCGGCGCGACGACTGCCACACTTTAAGCTAATATGGAATACCGTTGTGACCAAGATTTGTGCGATAAACTCGTCATGCCGGTTCCAATAAAGCAGTTGGATAAACAATTTTAGTTGAATATTTATAGTATATGTTCTTCCACATTGCATTTCCCTTTCTCTGTTTTAATTGTGATATTATTGTGCAACTATATTAGTCGCTGGACAAATTATTCTGGTAGCCCTCTGTGCGTTTATATCAAATTTCAATCATATTATAACGTGGGAAATAACCAGAGTAAGCTATTTTCCTTTCCCTGTTTACTATGTCTTGGTGTTGTATTAATGTATTTATATGATTGAACATATTGGTGGTAAATAAATAAATTAATAATAATAATAATAACATTTATTTATAAATTATTATTAGTTAAATACGACTGCTTGATACCGACATTTCAATCCGGTTGTTGACGTATACGTCCGATCCATCTTGTGTGGATTTACTCTCTAGGGGAGATTTTTTGAGGTCAAAGGTCATGATGGTAATGAGGTTTATTACGACAAGAACACCATTACACGCGGTCGGTCTACAAATAAACTCGCATAGTTTTAAAGAATTCGCGACGTTTTCAAATTATTAAGAACGTGAAATGTAGACGCACTATGACGTCACTGTTATAATATATCATTATATAACAGCCGTGGTTAGTGAAACGTAAAAGAACCCGACGAAATTGATGGTAAATTATCGTAGGCGTGATTACTTTGTGAAGCAATCGACAACATACTAGTAATACTAGATTGAAACAGACGCTCTGGGCCCATGTTATAATATTAAGAAACACTGCAGCGCTCATAGTCGGCGATGTCTGGGTGACGTCACTTGCACTTAGTTTTATGCTTGCAAATAGTTTGCGGTGCAGTGGAGAACAACTCTTAATAAGAGGACCGTTTCGTACTTTGAACATACTCGACTTCTTTTATAAGTGATTTCTTTTTTATAACCACTAAACTTAAAGGGCGGCAGTCGTCGTGCCGCGTCCTGTTCAATATGGGACTCACAGCGACGTATACAACGCGTGTAAAATACATTGTTTATATACATGATATTCGAACACGCGCTGCGCGACGACCACCGCGCTTTAACGCCTCTTATATGGTGGCGTTACTAGCGACGGCACGCCTGCTTCCAACTGCATACTAGTACATTCACCACAAGTGACGTGCCACCAAGTAATTTTACGTCATCGGTCAACGAACCGGGTGTGTGTGTGTGTGGGATGAGGGGTAATCAAATTTACTTGTTTAACAACATGCCTAGAGTTACATGGACACATTTATTGTATCCACCGTATTCTTTAATTGAGTAATCACGCGATCATTTGTGAAAGAAGGGTAATATCCCTTTGATATACTTACTGCGTATGAAATAACGTCGATGGTCTTAGCAAATGCGTTGCCTAGTTACAGTGCGCATAACTTAAAGAATTGTTAAAAATATAGCAATTCCGTGCCTTAGGACCGTGAAACTGTTGTGAATACCATGGTTACAAATAGCGTGACAGTGAGCAAGAGATTGACGTCACAGTAATATAAATACACTGTATAAACTGTCCAAGTATTGTTATATACTGGTATATTTGCACCCATCTTTTTTATCGTTAAAAATCCTTGAAATATTAGAAGTAATGTGTGTCATATACTAAATGTCACGTATCCGGATCAGAAGTTTCTTGCAAATAATCAAATATTACCGAAAATTTCGTCAACTTTTAGGGATCGTTTATGCACTCATGCGATCTTCTGACCGATAATTTGCAAATTACCTTCTTATTACAATATGAAATTAAAACTCAAAGTTTTTTTAATTTGACGTATCTTCTGACTACCTTGTTTTCTGTATGAGATATAAGCTCATCCCCGGATGTGTGAGGCTGATCTTATAAAAATGTACTTACCCTGTCACTACGTCATGTCTACTAATATCAGGCTCCGATACGGGCAATATACTACAGGTCGTAATTTAATTTGGTTTATGCCCTGTGTCCCTGCCATTACACCGTTGGTCATACTTCAGTCTATATAGAGAAGCCATATTTTAATTTAAAAAACATCCCAACCACAAAAAAAGAAAAGAAAAAAGACAGAAAATAATCTTGACAAAAAAACAAAAGAAAAAATAAACATTGTATAAGTTTAACCATGGACCGGAATGTGAACAAAATGGCGGCCATCTTCGTTTTCACGGCAGTTATTAAACATGAGTCTTATCGCATGTGACCTGCCCTTCATCATGAAGATGTTGATGTAATCTAAAATGATAAACGGTATTGCCTGACGGTCTAGCATACTGGTCTGACATGTTAAGCATAATGAACAATGATGACAGCAAACGGCACCATCTGTAACAAACGAAGTGGAATATTTCACAACATTACATGCCCCAAAATGTTATTTTTCAATAAATTATTTTTCTCTCTCTCTTTTGAATTTTACAGCGAGATGTGTACACAACGAAGATTACGTTGGCGTCCCATATGCGTGGACGCGGAGGGACGTCAGACGGCGACACGGGACACGGCCACGGGTCAGGACTGGATTTCATGGACTCATACACAGACACGGAATACAGTTATCAGAAAAATAGAACGATGACAATTATAGCACTAATCGTAGCTATCGTTGTTGTAGCCGCAATACTTGGTGCTATCATGTTTAGTATGTTTGTGTTTAGTGAAAGCAGCAGTAAGTACGATTTAATATTGTAATTTATATAGCGAGAAATATCGTGTAAGAAACATATTATTTCTGAATGTCGATACTGAATAAATTATTTCGGTGTCGTGTGATTGGATAATGCATGTCATGTGACAAACGTAATACAATCGACGATGGAGGTAAATGAGTTGTAAATGAAATTTCCTACTAATGCCGTCCATGCCATTTTGTTATTACGCTGTTTTTGCCACTAATCATTTCTTTAAATACATCCTGTTCGTCTGCTTTCTCTGGTATATTGAAATAAATTCTGCAAACGAGCAAACCTGACAACGCAATTTTCAGAATGGAGCCAAACATCATGAAAGCACTGATTGTGTTAATGCACAGTCCCTCTGTGGTTAATGCCATACATTGTGGTTGTTTTCATGTGAAATATATGCTACGTTTACTGAGTTCTGTTTAACGCGCCACGTTTCTTTCCTGTTATGATAATGGAGACGATAATGCTTTCAAAAATTGGTATATCCTGTCTCAGTAAGCAATTATATGACGAATATAGTTTCGATTAATGGATTCGACACAAACTTTCTGATAATGTCTTCCCTATTTGCAAGTCGCGATATTTAAAAAAAAACCCTGGAAAATTCTAAAACAAAGATATAAATTTTGTTCTACTATATATTTGACCAATGATTATCCACTATAAGAAATGAGCCACTTTTTTATTTCTGGGATGACTAGAAATTATCACTGTATTTTTTATCAATGTTCATATTCGGGTCTCCAAGATGCTATCGTACAGTTTAGAAATCATCACGTTTTTGTATACTGATTAGTTTCTCTATATGTTCTTAGCTATAATTGTGGCTACCAACATCCCAGCACGCAAATGAGGGTAAGAGATGGAAACTCTTAATACTCTGGATTGTACTATGGGACACAGAGGAAATAAAACAAATATTTCTCATATGTGCTATGATCACGCTTTAACACAAAATGGCCGCAGTTTTACGGTACGTCGAGGTGGGAACTCGGCTGCCTATCCACGCCCTTTCAAAAATTAAATATATTCACTTCTAACTGTAAACTACCAAATAGTATTGTTAAATTGATCATTATCATCAAAATGAAGAACGGTCGTAGAGTTTTTTGACTAATCAGTTGTTGTTTTTTTCTCCCCAGATATTATAGTTTCCGAGCCTACAGTACTACTAGACGGAAACCATACCCTTACACCCGCACAGTCATTACAATTCGCTAATAAGTGGTTACTATCGCAACAAGACAGTGAATACAGTTGGAGCAACACGCCACAAGCGCTGATCGCGATACGGCTGGGCAATCCGAAGTGGTTTCTCAACCAAGCCTTGAGCGAATTAAGTATTAAACAAATGAGCATCGACCTACTGGATGAAATGCTCAAAGGAGTCAGGTGAGTTTTCTTTTTGTTCTCTTCTTCCAAGGTGTTTTCTGATTTTTCAGCATTAGAAATTTTCCTTCGAAAATTTTCTTTTCAATTTAAGTTGATTTATATAATTTAAAAGAAAGTTATTCAAATCCATCTTGAATCTATCACTATGATCTCTAGTTAAACAGCATGTCTAAGCGATAGCTATCTGGTCTGTCCGTAAAAACATACATGTACTATAAACCCATGTTTGTATGTGCTTTTTATCCATTTTCAATGGATGACCCCCCCCCCCCCTTTCACGAGTCCCCTCGATAAGTCGCGACCCCCGGTTTTTGCTTGGATCCCAACACCCGCGACTTAGCGAGGTGTCACGGTATAATGCAAAGCTGTGTATGTTTCAATTAGTAATAGACTTTTACATTTGAGTATGTCAATGCATGTTGCTGTGAAATCACGATTACGTAGATGTGTGTTAACAATGCCGTTCAAATGAACACTGTGTTTAATTGTGTCGTCGTTCGTCATTTTTACAATATAGCAAAATTTCTAAATATTTTATAGTCGAGCGTCTGTAGATCAAAATAAATATCAACTCTGTGAACGGCCATAATTTCGCCCATTTAAGCGCTTCGTCGCTAGTGGGCGCATCTGATAGGAATATTAAGGGGATTAAGTGTTTCTCTAGTTTTTCAATGTGCACACAAACCCTTAAATGTTAGAACTTCGGGATAACAGGAAACATTGCACTTGGCGTTTATAATATGGACGAAAATGTATATATATATATTTTTTAATATTGCAGTGTTAATGAACACGAAGGGGAGCGTTACACAGATTTCAAGATGTCTACAGGTGACCTAGCAACGTACATGAACGCAATGGCCGCGTCTTGTATTGACTTAAATAATTTCCATGGTTACAGTATGACGCGATCTTTACATCACGCTATTAGGACGTTTCCAGCGTCCAATGATAAAAACTATTATTACTACAGTCTAGCGGTCTTGGCATTTTGTAATGCGGGGGAAAGGGGAATAAAGGATTACATTGACAACATCAAGGCAGCGCAACAAAAGGACGGCGGATACAAGTACGGTATAGGTTAGTGACTGTTTATTATTTTAGTTTTCTACTTTCCCAAATTAGGTCCCTTGTTACCCTTCATGCCTCTGAGCAATGTTTGATTATGCTAAAAGTGCCAATCAAATAATTATAAGGTACTTATTTCTGATGCGATGGCATATTATTTTCGGTTAGGTTTTCTGATTTGAAAACTGGGGTGGGGCGAAAGATTTTGGAAAGAGTATGGCCACAGCGACTGCATAATGTATTTGAATTGATGAAATGTAAATGAAAAAATGTCTTCTGATACCAAATTGCATGATACCATCTCCTCCAGCCCCCCCCCCCCCCCGCCAAATGTCAGATAGGGTTGGGTACATTGTAGTATGCATCATTATATTGTTTCTTCTACTTACACGTGTATTAACAAACTAACCCACACTCCGGATACATAATGACAACCCCTTTACTTAATTCTTCGTAATTTCCTCACAGACACGACGTCGATGGTGGTGGTGGCGCTGTCATGTCTATCAAGCAGCAAGCAACGGAAGACCCAAGTGATTGAACACATCCAGGATGCTGTTAACAATATATTACATCAACAGAAAGACGACGGCAGCTTCGGAAATCTACTAAATACAGCAAATGCATTACAGGTACAAGGATACATCGTGTGTTCGTTGTCTTCTGATTTATAACTGCTGTGTACATATATAAATTAATGTTTTTTTACGGCTTTGGGAAGTAATAATTACTCCTCAGCTCATCGGTCTGTAGGGCGCCAGCCAAGGTTCGTTTATTCGGAAATCGTCTCGGAGGTATATTTACATCGAGCTCGTGAAACCGTGCGATTTGGACGATGTAATTTCTAGTGCTGGCAACAAAGCGCTTATGTGACGTCTAACGTGGCGTAGATGGTTTTAAACAAATAAACAATGCTATTTGGTTGTGTAATAGTTTGTTATTTAGAATATACCAAAAAAAAATATTTCTATTAACTGACGAGCTCGTTCCTTACGCCATGGAAATAGTTGTCGCTTGAGGGCGCGACTTACAGGAGCGGTGTACTTGTCGAGCGTGTCGATAAAATGTGGCGTCGGTAACTAAAAATAACAATCTCATTTATCAGTTGCTGTTCGTTTATTTTCTCCCTATAGTAGCGAACTTGAACAGAAAGATATGTTGTGTCTCGAGCGTAAATTACGGTTTACTTTTCAGGCATTACTCGCAACGAATAAAGAGTGGGATTCCACCATCGTACAGAATGCTTTGAGTTTTATTACAAGCCGCCAAAAACGAGATGGCTCATTCGGCAGTGTGTCCGTGACCGCACAGATTATACCAGTACTCGCTATGAAGACGTTTGCAGATATCCGGAAAGTTGCAAAATGTGAAGAAGGTAATAATAGTGCTTCAAGTTCCGAAAATAAGAACATGCCGGCTGATAATGTTATCACTATGTCATTTTCCGGGGTAGTTTTACGGAGAATAAAACTACATTTTATGCAATGGTGCCCTAAAACTGACGTATCAACATTCGAAACACCAAGTACCAAGTGGCGTCACATTGTCACCAATCAACAATGGATTTTGTTCTCATCCAATGTATTGATAACAATTCTGTCGCCATGGATACCAATATCGTAGCACTGATGATTGTCGCTGTTTTTTTTCCTAGAAACGCCCACCTATATTGAGGAACCAGAAGTTCTAATTAAAGTATTTCTGTCAGTCACGAGCGCCATTGGGAACGATTCAACAATAACACCAATGATGTACCCAGTGACAACAGAACAAGGCTCTACTCTGTATGACGTACTCGTGAGGGCAAAAGAACAACACCATTTCAGGTAATGTGTGTGTGTTTAATTATAATGTATCATTATCGGTACGAACACGTTGCGCATGCGTAAATAAACATAAACATGACGAAGTTTAAGTTCCCTGGGAACACGGTTACTAAAAAATAAACCGTGATTGGAAGGACAACAACAGAGCATATTTGCAACATGTGTTGAAAGTGCAAAGTCAAAGTAGACACATGTCGAAATTTCAGGTAGTTTGGTTGTTTGTCTATTATTATGACATTTTACATGACCCAAAATTGTTAACTATTATAGTTCACAACAGAAAGTAATATATAGTCAACCAACACATTATTTTCGCTATGTTCACTGAAGGGATGAATCATTGAAAATATAATATAATATTTTACGTTCAACCCATCAATAAATTAACTTCACACAAAACAGTCAAAATGCCTTTTCAGCGAAAATAGAGTAATTTACAGTATGTGCGAGTCATCGCCATTGTGGGATTATTCCCTGGCCGCCATATTTATGCCGCCAATGAAACAAACGCTAAGTGTGAACGCAAGAAATCCTTATTATCGGGCGCAACATAGGCGCTAGCGTAACTTTTTCTAGTGAGAACACGGCTATTATATCAATTAGAAAAGCTTTAATTTGTTCAAAGCCTTGGACACCAGTTTCGGAAGAACACACCCATATATTAACAAAGTCATGAACAATATAATTATTTTTTACCAGTTTTATAACTCGGGAAGGTGGTAAGTGGGGGCATCCCATAGTGGGCGTGAATGGTCTGACCGAGGACGTGGAAGACATCGACGCTTACTGGGCTATATGTATACCGGAGGACGCGGAAACATCCCTTGGTAAGATCATACTCAAAAACTCAAACAATATATGTCTAACTTGGTGCAAGTTTTGTGAGTTGTTTACGTATTCCCGGGACACTGTAATATATGTGCATGTTACAATGATAAAAACATATTTCGCTGTTAGACGTGGCTCCCATACGACGTGTACCACGTGTAGATATTTTCTAATAAATAACTAATAAATTTATTGGTGGTCTGAGCTTCCACGAAATTCGAACACGTGATGCATGTGGCGTTTATAATTATATATTTAAATGTTATGTGACTTACAAACATGTAGGCTCAGGTATATTAAATGTTCATTCTTCCGTTTTTCTCATAGGCCTGGATGACGTCATACCGCAAGATGGGGACAAGATATTTCTAGTATATACACGTACCGTTAACACGTAGACGTAGTGTCTTCATTGTGCTAAACATGAGCTAATACCGTTTTAAAATTATATGGTCAACAATAGTTCAGTCTCTAGTTCTCAAAACTGAACTAAGATAGTTAGAAGTTAGAAACAACACTTTGTTATAAATACTTTTACTGAGAAAACTAAAGTTTTTGGAAAGTGTTATCGGTTGTATTATAAACAATATCATGACGGAATCGAGCCTGACAAGTTGG